TCTACTAATACTACTGATAGGCAGTAGCAGGATAGTTACATCTTGGTTGCTGAAGGTTTGTGCTGCTGCTGTGAGGATAAACGCAGCTTTTCTATTGCTGATATTCAAACAATCCAGCACTGCTGTAACCTCAGGTGTTAAAACATGCTTAGCCGCTACTTTTGCACATTTTGGAGTCTTATTGGAGCTGGCCTGTTCTGCTTAAGATGCTTCATCTTGAGATGATTTAGTTTCAGAACTATTGAACAGACCTGCTCTGGACGAAGTTGCAGATTCAACAGCACTATTCTTTCTTTCTACTTCTTTGGCTCATTGTTTTACCTCTTTGGACACTCTTTTCGCCTTCCTCTCTTCTTTCCTGGACAAGTTGGTATCCAAACCACCCATGGCGTATTTCTTTTTAGACTGCTGATCAATCAAAAACAGTTTATCTTCTTCAATTGTAATCAAATTTATGCAATCAGGTTGAGAAATATCAAACAACACGTTGATAGACTGCTCAAATTCTGCTTCTCAAGCCATTTGCGCAACAACTCTTCTACTTTTATTGCGACAGACATTCCGGTAACCGTCAGGTAACCGTCGGTAACCGGTAAATCCTCAAACTTTCTAATGATATTTCTCAGTTCAGCTGTTGCTACCCTTGCTTTGGCCCAATATTTTTTTTTATTTTTTATCATTTTTGTTGCTTGAGTTTCTATTTTTTTTATGATTGCTTTCTTTGTCTTTTAGTTTATTTGTCTCAGTTGGATAAATAGGAAAAAAAATTTCAAGCAATTTTTTCCTTACTAAAACTCATTTATACTTGGAGAGAGTACATTACATATTACATATGTAATGTGCTAACTTCAAGTTTTCTTATTTCAGACTTGTTATTATTAATAATAATAAGTTGGCTTGGAATCAGATAGAACCTTTTTACATTAATTTCTTGCACTAATAAAGACATTCTATTGTTCTCAATAGAGATGATTATTTGTAAAATATTATTTTACAAGATTATTGGTAAAAAAACTTGAAATTACTTTTTTACAAACAAATATAGTTTTTTATATAGAAAGTTTTTTACAAACAAATATATAGAGAGAATACAATAAACTATAAAATTAACTACAAAATTGTATTGTTTTGTATTTTAAATAACAAAAATGTAAAAAATAAAGCAAGCTGATGATTTGAACTTGCCACCTGGCGACATTAACTTTTTTAAAAACAGTAAGGGGGTTTAAAAAAATATGTTTTTATTAGGAACATAATTAAAAATTCTAATTTTATTTTTAAAATAAATTATTTTATTAAATCTATTTTATCTAAAAACAGTAAAAAGTTAAAATTATCTAACATCATGGTAAAAAGGTTTTTTACAGCTTTTTTACCGTCCCAAGTGAAGAACCCGTTTTAGTACTGTTGGACTGGTTATGGGCGCCCAAAAAAAAACGCCCAAAAATTATTATTATTTTTTAATTTTTCTTTTGCTTATTTATAAAAAATAGAAAAAAATTCCAATTTTTAATGCAGTATTACATAAATAATTTTCAGTTTATTTTAGCTAATTCATTTTTTCTTCAAGACAACATAATAAATTAAAAAAGTAAATGTAAAAACTCCAATACATAACTATGTAACGTAATTTGCCTTCAGTTATTAAGTGACTTAACTATCATGCAAGTTTAATTTTTGAATGGTTGAACATTTGATCTTTAGCTTGCTATTTTAATTTACATGAGGAAAATGAAAAAACGAAGTGTAAACTTTTTCTGAAAGTTTTTTTTTTTTTCCAATATTCTTTTAAAATAGTAAAAATAAAGATTTCAATAACTTAATAAAAGTTTTATTAAAATACGTTTAAAATAAACCACAGTAAATGTAATTTATTCAATAAACCTAATTTTTTAAAATTATACTTAATAATACAAAAAATATTTTTTTTTAAATATATGTTTTTTAAAATATAATATGCTTTTAATTCAAAAAAACATTTCATTTTTAAAATTTTGTTCACTGTAAATATCTTTTCTTTAATTATCTTTAATTTAAAAGACGCCTTAAAATCACTTTAAAAATTATTAATCTTTAGTAAAAGTTAAATGAACAGGTTTGCTAATATTCAAGTCAAAATTTCAAATAGTTTATTAAATGCTTAACGAATTTGTTTATTAAATGCTTATGTTTTTAATTTACATACAAGACCTAAAACTATTTTGTTAATTTTACAAATATTACGTGATTTAATATATGTAAATATATTATTTAATGTAAATATTAATTAAAAATGGTTAAAGATATTTAAACATTTAAACACTAAAATTAAATTTATAAATATATAGTTAATAAATGTTTAAAATACTTTAAACAATTTTCAATAATTATTTACTGATAGGGTGGTATATACAACAAAAGCGCTAATTAAAGTCTTAAGTAAAATAGCTTTCTTATTGTATCTAAAGTAACATCATCCTCCAGTAAATTCATGTATTCAAAAAAATTATTATTAAAAATTATTAAGGTTGGGGGGAGGGGGAGGAGAGGGGGGCTCAAAAATACCCCCCCCCCCCCATCCTCAACATTGGCAGAAAAAAATGGTATCCCCAAAAAAACTTTGAGTTCTTCACTGACGCCCACATTAAACATTCTAGACAAAGTGGGCAACAATGACAGAATTTAGAAAATCATCAAAATAGTATTATACTCTGTATAATACTATTTTGATGATTAATGACGCTATTAACTGATAATGCATTTGAAATATTTGAATCTCTTTATTTATCATTATCATAAATAATATAATTATGGAATTTACTTTTATTTATAAATAATATGTATTTTTTGTAAAATTTTAGTTTTTAGTTAATGAAACATGTTCTATTTTGTAGGTGATGCATTGAAATTGTATCTGGAAAAGCTGTAAACTTTAAAGAAGCTGAGGAATTATTTGAAATATAAGTAAGTTGTATTTTATTTTTTATTAGTTTTGTTTTTGTTTGTTAAATATTCAACCATGTTTTATATGAATCTAATTATTTAATATAGTAATTTTGACTGGTGGTGATATTCAGGTTAGATTTTATAAAGTTAAATTTTGTTTTTAAAGAACCATTTAAATTTACTTCTTATAAATTTTTTTTGTACAAAATGTTAAAAATTAAATAATAATATTTTGATTGTTATTTTAATTTTAGTGCCATAGCTTATCATATATCACATAGGTTTATCACATATTGTAGGTTTAAAATTCAAGTTTATCTTTATCTTCAGTTCTATAGTTTGTGTTTATCTTGCTGTGATGAAGTTATACATTTACTTATCACATATTGTAGGTTTAAAATTCAAGTTTATCTTTATTTTCAGTTCTATAGTTTGTGTTTATCTTGCTGTGATGAAGTTATACATTTACTTATGGGCAAATTTAAATAAAAATTGTTTGATTTTTTAAGTTATTGTGAAGTCGCAGTATGTATTTTTCTGTTTAGATATGAAGGTAATATTGACAATTGATGTATTATAATTTTTAATAAACATTTTTAATGAAATTACAGCAAAAAGTTTAGTTTCATTTTATGATATAAAAATTTTATATGATTTTCTTATTTATTATAAAATATTTTTTTCTCATAAGTTTATAAAAAGATTGTCAATCATTAGAAGTTAAATTTTAATATTTTAGCTAGTTCAAATCGACAGTAAGTCGATTTTTCTTTTTATTTTATGAGTTTAAAAATTTTGTTTAAATCCCATTTTTAGCTAACCTTAATCATGATTCTAATGATTGTTATTGAAACTGACTCTAACAGCTTTTTTTTTCTCTATATGTGTATATTATATATATATATATATATATATATATATATATATATATATATATATACAAATAGTATTGCGTACTAAGGTAAGCAATCTGACGTCATACTGAAATAGCCTGCTGCTGGGGGCTTCAATACATACATCGACTGACAAATAGCCTGACTCGCAGTGGAGTGCTGCTACTTGACTGAGGGTTTGGGATGGCAATCGTTTCATTCATCATTCTTCGTTTTTTCTTCTTCTTTTTCGAAAAAAACAGTTTAGCTTAAAGTAAGCAGAAAAAGTGAGCAAATGCTTATCAAAACACGCTTTAGTAAGTGTATATATATATATATAAATATATATATATATATATATATATATATACTTATATGTATAAACACATATATATATATATATGTATATATATATATATATATATATATATATATTATATATATATATATATATATATATATATATATATATATATATATATATATATATATATATATATATATATATATAACCCCTAGTTACAAAAATATGGCAAAATTTTTGTTTTTTTGCCTGATTCAGGCTTACAAGACTTTGGTTTATTGTTCTTCCACTTTGCCATATAATGTTTAATTGTTCTTTCGGGATGATTAGAGGCAACAAAAAACTCTATGGTGCTCTTCCTTTTATCAATAGGATGCAAATTACAATAGTCATACACTTGTTCAATTAATGTAGTTGGCTTCATATTTGGATAACTATTTTATTAATTAAACTAAGTAAACAAAACTTTATAAACAAAACAAGTAAAAAAGTAAGACTAGATAACTAAAATTCAATAAGTTTTAGCTTCTCAAAGATTATGCAAAATTTTTGTCACCAGGGGTTTTATATATATATATATATATATATATATATATATATATATATATATATATATATATATATATATATATATATATATATATATATATATATATATATATATATATATATATATATATATATATATATATATATATATATATATATATATATATATATATATATATATATATATATATATATATATATATATATATATATATATGTATATATATATTATATATATATATATATATATATATATATATATATATATATATATATATATATATATATATATATATATATATATATATATATATATTGATATATAATACATATATATCAATCTTACTTACCAACACTCAAAAGAGCTTCTGTAAAATGATTTGTCCAAACTGGCTTGCACAAACAAAATATTTCAAAAAACATATCAATCATCACTTTCTAAAAAAATAACTAATTTATTTATTTAACTAAAAAAGGAACAACACAAAAGAAAAAATTTAACAAAACCCAGAAAATTTTTTCTTTAAAAAGTAGTAAAATAACACTGTAATAAAAGCTTTACTGGCAACATAAAAAAGTCATAAAAACAACTAATAATTGGTACTGCAATATTTTATTCATCGTTAAGCTAGATTAAGTTATGAAAGTGAAATTTTTATTGTTCTCGCAATTAAATCTTAACTATAAATAACATGAACTTCAAATCACCAAAATAAAAAACTAAGTAAAAACACCAAATGACTTTTTTTGTACCATACTGTTTGCTGCATTAAGTCTGACAAGGTTGTTTTGTTCAAAAGTCGTAAAAAGTAAGCATTACAACTGTCATGCTACGTTAAAACATTAAAGTTGAAGACTTTAATGTTTTAACTTTTGCATAATAAAATATATAGCATTTCACATTTCTGGAAAGTTTTAAATTATTCCATTTTAGTTTATTTATGTTACAACCGCCACTCTCGCGGAATTGCCCATATATAATATTGTAACATTTACACATTATGCATTAGACTTTTTGAGTTTGTGCAATATTTTATAGGGCCATATTTTTATAAAACCAAATTTTATGAAACTATTTTATAAAACCAAATAATCTACAACAAAAACTCTGATTTTAAAAATATGTTTATATTTTATATTTTAAAAAAAATTTATATTTAAAAAATATAAATTTTTATATTTTCTGTTTGACTCTAAATAAATCTTTTCTCTAAAACTTCTTCGAACAGCAGTTTTAGCATATTATTTTAAACTGCTCAAAACTAAATCTTTGCCTTAAACTTAAACACTCGCTTTGGCGATTTCTTATTGAAAAGGTAAAAAAGTAAAAATTTTTTTTTTTAGCTGGTGCTTTAGATATTTATTTCTTATTAATTTACTTTACTTTTAATTACTCTTTTTAATCGATTTTACTTTTTTCCTAGGTCTTTTTTCTTTACAAAAGATTATTGCAGTTGAGAAGCTAAAAGATGGAAAAACCATTTTAAACCATGTTAAAAAAAGATTGTTAGTTTTTTTTAGTTATTCAAAATAACATAAAAAATAATCTTTCTTAGAAAAAAAAATGTCTTTTTTCTTCTTGGGTGATTCAGATACTAGTTTTTTATTAAATACAATAATTTGCTGTTGTATTTTGCCTCAATTTTATGATAATATATCTATTTAATAATAATACAATATAGTAATATTATTTATTCATTTATATAATATATTATAAAGTATAAACACTTTCTATTCAACTAATTTTAACATGAATTTATAATTTTAAAATGAAAACTATTACATTATTTTGACATTTAATGATCTTAAACTTTAGGGATTATTAAACAAACAAAAAAAATTATGATCTCAATCTACGTTTATTGCGTCAATAATAAATGTTTAGTATTTTTTATCATTCTATATTTTTGATTATTCAATAATATTTTCTTGCTTTTTTAATACTGTAAACTAAAGATTGTTATGGTCTTAAACTATTTTTATTCCAATAACCAAAAACATTTAGTTGCTAACTTAATAATTTCAACTCTTTGTTTTTGAAGGTATTTAAATTATTTAAGTTTCCTATACAATTCATGCCAATCAAATTTGATAGGCCAAAGTTGAGATTAGAAGATCAAATCATCATTATTTTCAAAAATAGAAGATCATTAACTGTTGATTGGTCTTTATTTTTAGTGCTAATATTAGAGTCTGCTGCTGCAAATGAGTGTTGCTACATTGACTGAGGGTTTAAGATGGGGCAGCAATCTTTTCTTTCAATATTCTTTCTTTTTTTCTTCTTTTTCTGAAAAAGCTATACGCTATAAAGAGAAGTAAAATTAGTAAACATTTGCTAATCTATATATGCTATAGCAGATATATATATACACAAATATACATATAAATACATATATAAATGCAGCATTAGAGGCACACTGCTGCAGGAAGTAGTGCTGCTACATCAACTGAGGGTTTGGCATGGGGCAGCAATCTTATCTTTTATTCTTTGTTTTTTTTTATTTTCTGATAAGAATGCAAAAATGATATTAGGAAATTGTGCGCTTAGGTATAAATTATTTTATCTTTATATACAAGGGTGTCCCAAAAAACAACCGAAAAACAAAAAAAAATTATAAATTTCACTTCCTAAAAAAATACATATTTTATTTTAAAAAAAATGCATTTTTACAAAAAAATCTTAATGTTTTTTATTTAAAAAAAAAAAAATGTATATATATATATATTCATTTTTAAAAATTGATTTAAATATTATTTGCAAAAAGCTATGCAAAAGTTTAATTTAATGGGTAATTTTTATCAAACTTTTCAGGGTTTGTTCAACTAAAAAAATTAGGAAAATGAATTTAATTGATTTTTTTTATTCAAAAAAAAAAAATCTATTAGCTATACAATTAACATTAATAAAATAAGATATTTTAAAAAAATAATTAAAAAAATTTAATAAATAATTATACAATTATAAAATGAGTTGCATAAAAGTTAAATCGAGTTAAGGTAACAGTTACCTTAACAAAAAAATTTGTCAAGGTAACAAATTGATCTTCTTTGTGGTAAACCAGTTTGTTATACTATGTGCTGTGTGTGCAATTGCTTGTCGATAGAATCAAATGCGTTTCAAGTGTGTTTTTGTAGGTAAATTGGTTGATATGGCTATTATACAGCTCACAAAAATCAAGGCTTTAGTGGGAAAAACATCAACATATGCCTACTGAGTCTCCACCACCTTGTCCTCTTTTTACAAATAGAGCTCACAATATTTCTCAGTTATAATATAAATCACTTTTCCCTAATCTTTAACTACCAAATGCAAATGTTCTTTGTACCATTTTCGTCTTTTGTGTCATTACATGATTGACAGGATAGGCTTTCTTATTGCAATGTAAGACCCAATACCTTTGTTTGCTAATGAACAAGGTATGTCAACAACATTACCTGTTAGTTCCCAGGTTTTCACTGTTTTTCGCACACAAAATTCAGAAACATACATAAGTTTACTAATTTCAACGTTATTATGATTCTTTAATTTGACCAGTCCAATAATTTGATATTTAATGCTCTCTTACACTGCTTTTCTACCCATTTGCAAGCGAATTGAAATTTAAAATATTGCAGATAATTTTTTTCGAAAAAAATATTTATTTGTAATTTAAAAATTATTTTTTTATTTAAGAATCATGAGTACTATTTATATTTATAATTTATAGGGTAATTAAGTATTATAATTAGTTATGGAGTGTGAAAAATGTATATTTAATCAACTCAAATAAACTTTTATGCCATCCGTAAAATACATCGTATTACGTTTAATTAGTTTTACGGAAGTAGTGTAGTATGTGTGAATATACTTTTTGTCTATTTTATCTATACAAACATAAATAGCAAAGCACAAAAAAAAAATTAACTTAAAATTTATATCCGTTAAACTTTAAAGTTAAAAAAACTGGCACATAGTTATGAAAAATTAATCTCGATTAAACTTTTGTGCATAGCTGTATAGTACAAAATCAAAATATAATATAAAAACAAATATTTAATAACTTGTTACAATATATATAATTTACTGCACTTATAATACTAAACATGATTAGAAATGCTATAAAAAACATTTTAAATATTTTAATAAAAAAATGTTCTGTTACCCTTATTTCAGTATGAGGAAGTCGAAAAACTCCAAATAAAGTTTCAATAGTATTGCATTCAGGGTTGCAGATATAGATAAATCCTAAAAAAACCCTGCATTAAACATTTCCATCTAAAGTTGCAGATATATAATCCATATTTTTTAATATATTGCATTAGTGATAAATTTATATATATATATATATATATATATATATATATATATATATATATATATATATATATATATATATACATATATATATATATATATATATATATATATATATATATATATATATATATATATATATATATATGTATATATATATATATATATATATATATATATATATATGTATATACATATATATATATATATATATATATATATATATATATATATATATATATATATATATATATATCAGGCCTTGCGATGAATAAGAACTGCTTGACGCATAAGCACGACGTGATTTTTGACGTCATTAAATTCTTTTTATTTGCTTGTCATATTTATCGACATTAACTGCACCAATTTACTTAATTACCACAAAACTACTTTAAATCATTAATGTAGAAATGTTATTATTTTAAAATGTTTTGGAATGTTTCGTTTTTTAAAATGTAAAAACATTTGTTTATTTTCTCGACGTTTGACACGTTTTGTCTATACTAAACGAATAAAAAACATTAAAACTAAACATTTAAAAAAGATTATAAAATATGGTAATACTTGATTTTTTTTTTCTCAAATATGTAATTTAAAGTTTTTCAAATAAATTTTTTTCTTTTTAAAAAGTCAGCGAGTAATAAACTGGAAATTTTAATATTGTACGATTAAAAACTGTGCAATAGCTAATATTTTTATCAGCGATTTTATATAACATTTTTTTATTTTTTACATTATTTTACATTATTTTATTTCAGGTCAGGTTTTCCTGCTACTGGTAACATGTAACCCAGTACAACCTGCTCCATGTCCTGCTGCCTTGTAGGATACACTTTTTTAGGCAAAGGCTAGGAGAAGTTAACTCTGAATTAAAACACCCCCTGCCTTGGGGCTCTTGGTTGAGTAAAGGCTAGAGATGGTGTCTCGATAAAAATACTCATCTTGGGCAGATGTTACATGCATCCAGCTGCTGTCTTGTAGAAGGCCTCCTAGGCAAAGACTTAAGGGGTAAACAGATTCTATCTGTTGACCAGCCTCGCACCCCTTCCTCATCTATTAGGCTGGCGCAGATGTATTTTTAATACATTGTTTCCAGTTTAGGATGTTGAACGCTGGATCTTCTTGACTCAATGCGTGGGTATTGCTTGTGTCTCTATTTTTATGACTGGGCAACTCATTCTATTATCTCCTAATGAGGGTACAGCTCTAAAACTCAGTTTTATGGTTCTGAGGCCGGCTGGTAGTCAGGTTTCCCGAACTCTGTGGTAGCTCTCCGAGAGGCTGATTCCATCAACAGCCGAAAAATATCAGAGTACTAACAGTGCCATGTTGCGCATGGATGGTGTCCCTGTTTGTACTTTTGGTGTGCATTGCAGAGGCCACATTTGGAGCCCTTTGTTACGGCTTAGGGTTTATTAATAGTAATGAGGCTATTGCTTAGTTGTTAAATGGTGTACTGAGTACTATCTATACTTGAGTCAAGTTCTTTATAAATTTAAAAAGACTAAAGTACCTAAAACTAAAAAACACAAAAAACCATTGTCATCACCAAGTTCTCTAAACCTATCATTTACTAATATTCGTGGTCTTCGAAGTAACTTTTCTTCTGTTGAGTCTTATCTCTTGCAAAGTTCACCAGACCTACTTGCTCTTTGTGAGACTAATTTGAGTTCGGCTGTCCCATCTTGTGATCTTAGTGTTGATGGTTATCTTCCTTTAATTCGTAAAGACTCCAATAACCACATGCTTGGCCTGGGCATCTACATTCATAAGAACTCACCCATTTGTCGTGAAACTAGGTTTGAATCTACAGACTATTCATTTATGTGCTTTCGTTTAGCACAACTTCACTCTATCGCCTTTCTCTTTGTTCTATATCGCTCTCCTTCATCCCAAGATTGCACTATTCTTGATGTTATTTCTGATCAAATTGACCAAGCCCTCTCTCTTTATCCATCGGCCAATATCGTTGTTGTTGGTGACTTTAATGCCCATCACACCGATTGGCTTGGCTCTAGTGTCAGTGACTCTGCTGGCGTTAAGGCCCTCAACTTTTGTCTTTCTCAATCTCTAACTCAAATAGTCAACTTTCCAACTCGTTTTCCAGACAACCCTAATCATTTACCTTCTCTACTCGACTTATGTCTTGTTTTGGATCCTAGTCAGTGCTCAATTTCTCCACATTCACCCTTAGGTACTTCTGATCACGGTTTGATCTCTCTAAAACTATTATCAAATTCTTCTACTTCATCAGAATCCCCCTATCATCGTACCACATACAACTACCTTAAAGCTGACTGGGACTCTTTCCGTGATTTTCTTCGTGATGGCCCTTGGGTAGAAATCTTTCGTCTTCCTGCTGACAAATGTGCTTCTTACATAACTTCGTGGATTCAGGCTGGCATGGAATCTTTTATTCCCTCTCGATGATTCCAGGTCAAGCCTCACTCTTCTCCTTGGTTTTCCTCACATTGCGCTGCAGCAATTTCTAATCGAAACCGTTACTTCCATATCTATCAGCAAAACAATTCTCCAGAAAACAGACATCTGTTCACTATCGCCAGAAACCATTGTAAAAAGGTTTTGTCTGACGCCAAAGCTCGCTATTCCCAGGTCATTAAATCTCGTATCTCATCACAAAAATTAGGCTCTCGAGACTTCTGGAGAATCTTTAACAGTATCAATAATAAGGGCAAATCTGTTATTCCTTCTCTCTTGTATGGTTCAGACTTTGTCACCTCACCTAAAGACAAAGCTGAATTGTTTGCTAAGAACTTTTCATCAATATCATCTCTTGATTCCACTAGTTGCGTTTTACCTGACATAGCCGTCAAACAGGTTGATCCCTTGCTTGACACTCGCATCACTTCAGCTTCTGTATCTAAAGTAATTTCCTGCTTAGACTCTTCAACAGCTTGTGGTCCTGACAACATTCCTGTTGTAGTCTTGCAGAGGTGTTCTCGGGAGCTTTCATCCATACTTTCTAAACTATTTAACAAGTGCTTATCAGAGTCTTGTTTTCCATCATGCTGGAAAGCAGCATCTGTTATCCCTATTTTCAAAAATTCCGGAGAGCGATCTGATTCATCTAACTACCGTCCCATTAGTCTTCTTCCTGTCATAAGCAAGGTTTTTGAATCTTTAATCAACAAACACTTAATCTCTCATCTTGAATCAAATAACTTACTTTCTGATCATCAATATGGATTTCGATCTTCTCGTTCTACAGCTGATGTGCTAACAGTAATAACCGATAGGTTTTACCGTGCATTAGATAGTGGTGGAGAGGTTAAGGCTATCGCACTTGACATTTCTAAAGCTTTTGATAAAGTTTGACATGCTGGTCTTCTCCATAAGCTTTCTTCTTATGGTGTAGCTGGTAACGTCTTTAAGATTATTGAGTCCTTTCTTTCCAATCGTAGTATGAAAGTTGTCCTCGATGGACAACACTCTTCTTCACATCCTGTAACTTCAGGGGTTCCTCAAGGTTCAATCCTTGGCCCTATACTCTTTTTAATTTACATTAACGATCTTCCAGATATTCTCACATCTAAGGTGGCATTATTCGCTGACGACACTACCATTTACTCTTGTCATGATAAGAAGCCTACACTCTCTGATTGCTTGGAGGGGGTATCTGAGCTTGAAAAGGATCTCACTTCTGCTACAGCATGGGGCTCACAGTGGCTGGTGAACTTTAATTCAGACAAAACTCAATTTTATTCGGCCAATCGTTATCGTAATAATTTAGATCTTCCTATATTTATGAATGGTAATGTCCTAGATGAGTCATCTACCATTCATCTTCTAGGATTAACTCTTACTTCTGATCTTTCTTTTAAACCGTATATCAAATCCATTGCATCTGCTAAGGTTGCATCTCTTTATCGAGCTCGACACTTTCTTACTCCAGATTCTATTCTCTATCTCTATAAATCTCAAATCCGTCCCTGTATGGAATACTGTTGCCACATCTGGGGCGGATCTTATAATGATGCTCTTTCTCTTTTAGACAAGGTGCAAAAACGAATTGTAAACATAGTTGGACCTGCTCTGGCAGCCAATCTCCAACCTTTGTCACATCGTCGTAATGTTGCTTCTCTTTCTCTTTTCTACAAATACTATAATGGGCACTGCTCTAAAGAGCTAGCGTCCCTTGTGCCATCTACTAAAATTCATTCTTGTGTTACTCGCCATTCAATTAAGTCTCATCCTTTTTCTGTGACTGTTCCTAAGTGCTTCAAAAACTCTTATTCTTCTAGTTTTTTTCCTCGAACATCAGTTCTTTGGAATTCGCTTCCTTCATCTTGCTTTCCTGATTCATATAATTTGCAATCTTTTAAGTCATCAGTCAATCGTTATCTTGCTCTACAGATTTAGTCTTTTCTCTTCCAGTAACTTCCAACTCTTATAGTGGTTGCTTGCAGCCTTGTTGGAAGTAAAGATGTTAAAAAAAAAAAAAAAAAAAAAAAAAAAAAATTTATTTATTTTTATTTATTTTCATAAAGCGGTTGATAAGCACAATCATTTGTATTACTAAAAAATTTAATGAACGTTTTGAATAGATTTTTAATGTTTACAAGGAATTTTATTTCTAGTAAAATAAAACAAAATGTTAGAATAAAAATCTTATAGGTATAAAAGACATATTTCAGCGAAAAAATTTGCAAATTGAACAATATTTAATAAAAAGTACGCTAAAATAAAAAAAAGAAAACATTACGTGGTTAAATATGAGAACTAATTTTATTTTATAAATAATCTTTTATACTAAATTATTTATTTTATATATAGTTCTCGAAGATTGCCAGTCAAAATATCATCTTCACTATCAATGTCTTCATCGCTTCTTGTTTCGATTAGCAAATCATAGTCTTCTAAGCTTAGTTGAGTTTTTTCATCATCGAAAATAATGCATTTTCTTCGCTTTT